TCTGTTTTTAAACCAATGGGCATCCACTACGCTTGTTTTAAATATTGTTCGGACCAAGTCCTGTTCTTTAACCACTTGAAATGCAATCTGTTGTTACTATATGCCGGTTCTAATGTCTAATAAAAGGGGTATGCGATAGACTTACCTCCACGAGGTGCACCNAGCCACCCAAAACAGCTGAGATAAACGAACGCAGAAAACTCTATCAGCTGCTGAGAGAGAAGGACAAAACAGTGGTACTACAATGGATTCCTGGTCACTGTGGCATTAAAGGCAATGAGATTGCTGACACACTTGCTAAGAAGGGGACAACGATTTTGCAATGCATTGACCGGCCGATGTCTTTCCACACAATGAAGGCCTTAATCAGGAGAGAATTCCAGACCTCAAGGTTCAACGAACTCAAAGCTCGAACAAAGGAGAAACAGTGGACAGTGGCACTCTCCGACATACCCGACTGGCCAAGAATCAAAGCCGTTGCTGAGTTTAGACTACGTACCGGACACGATTGCTTGACAAAACACCTTCACAGATTGGGAGTATACACTCAACCCACATGCCCTCTATGTAACCTACATGAGGAAATGGAGAAGACCCACCTGATTCGGTGTCCAGCTCTAAAGACAAGGACGGAAAGCCAAAGATACTGGGAAGCAAGAAGACTGCTAATGAACTGCTATTAATTAACTGCTATAAATGTACCCCCCCCCCTCCTCTTGGGGGAAGCTGAAGTCAAAGATTAAGGGCTAATGATAACTATCATAAAGCCTGCCATTTGAAATAAATAAATAAATATTTGTGCTTAGTTAATACATTCGGCGCTAAGTTAGGAACTCTGAAATTGATATGAAAGCAATAATGCAGACAAACATTGGCACACTTTAGTCCAACGAGAAGCCAAAAGTCGAGAAATATCCTATTACAATCCAAAGCCACTTAAGCCTCCTGAGGACCCTCTTTTATATTGTTATGCCGCTTAAACACCTTCAATCAATACTGCCTTAGCTATTAGATGCATTAGTGACAGTTAAAGGTTCTGAAGATCTGCACAGACATAACTGTCGTTTGCAGACAACAGTTTCGCCAAATGTTTTCGTTTACCTCCCAACTCCCTTTCCATTCTCCTTTGAGGTGTCGAATTTTAATTTCTTTATTCGCGTTCTTGGAGCATCAGCCCTACAGAGAATTTTCTGAATTGTTTGAAAGCAGAATCAAATTCATCATCTAAATCATTGACAGCGTAATTATTTGCCTTCAGGTTTGGTAATCCATGAATTGATGCTGTTTATTTCTTGTTAGGCTTTGAAATCTATTTCTACTGAAACCTCATAGGTAAAAATTGCGTTTCTCATGAACACTATCAGCAAAGCCTGTAATAGTATATAAAATATCGTACAGTTTGATAACCCAACAAACCATGCTTTAAGTAAAAACGAGGTAATGGAATTTTTCTCCATGGTCTCTGTGTGACAACTGTGCACTTTATTCTTCTATCAAACAAAGCCAAATCCTTCTTTATCCAAATACATGACTCCAGGTTACAAATGTGCGTCAGCTGTCGTCCCTAAAGACTGAGATCAGAATTCAAAGCATCGATGAGTCTCACGTGAACTAAGTTTTGGACACGAAATGTACAAAGTATGCTTCTAAGTTGATATTAGCATGACATATCATTGCTTGTCCACCAGTTCCAATCCCAGTTTTGCTTTCTGCATAGAATTCATCGATTTCCCTCCTCCGCCGAACCTAGTAGACAAGGTGAAATAACAGCGACAAACCGCACCAAGAGCTAAACGAAATGCACCCAGGACACATCTAGGATTTGGTAGCCGAAATGACTGGACAATAGATTCACTACTCCCACTAACACTCATAGGTTCCGCTAAACTATTCCTGAATCATTAGAGAAGTCGAAGACTATTCCACTTAAGTAGTTTGGAAAGCCCATTGCGGTACTCAGCGCATTTTCCAAACTGAAAGAGTCATCCTGGAGATTCTAACAGAATGAAGAATATTTGGAAGCACATAATCAGAGGATCGAATAGGGACGGTAATAAAGAAAGAGTCTAAAATATTACGTAGGACAAGGTAAACCGGGAGTCACATGGTGGTACAAACAATACGGAGTCCAGTAGGAATTTCTATAAGTAGTTCGTTCGCTTGCTATTGGTAGGTGATATAAGTTGCTAACTGTAACGAAATTCGACTTTACTGAAAGTACTGACATAATTAGATAGACGAATGCATAAATGCAATAGCCGTTAGAAGAGGTGCATGTTTACCCAAAATACCACATTGAGCATATTGAATATTAGCACTGTGAAGTCGAGATGGATCTGCACGTACAGCGATGAAGTTTCCAACAGCTGGACCAAACAGTTTTGCAGAGATAAGTCTGTTCATGTCTTTTCGCATCACTAAAAGACTATGCGCAGTTGTTAGAGCCTTCAGCATCATTGAAGAATCGTAAGTGGTTGGGCATTTCCGCGTTCATTTGAAATTAGAGTCTAGCACTGTTAAAGTGACCTGATTTTGTTCATACTATTTGCGAAATTCTGCTCACACGAAAGATTACCATAGGCTGTCCTCGCGATTTATGCATAGCGAGAGATGCGCCAATTTCTTTCATAGGAAAAACTCTCGGTAGAGACGACAATTTAGTTGTGACTTTTTCATTGACGGTTTCGAATTTCATTCTGTTGACTTCTTTCCAAATAAGCGGAACACAATCATCTATCACACGCCACATGCTATATGGAGAAGTTGGATAAAATGTTTGAACTGTCCTCAACTCTGGAAAGATGTCGGGTAAAGATACATTGATTGAGCATGGGTTTTAGAAGTAGTATGAGTTGCAAACCATAAGAAAAAGGCAAACACACTTGTTTATGTTGCATAGTGTTTGTTTTAGCATTACACGACTCTTCAAATTCAATTTTGTCCAGAAAGGTAGTTGATTGTGTAGTTAACTTTTAGAGAAGGTCCATAGGACCAGAAATTTGGATGCATTTATTTGAGGTTACATTTCTTTCATCACGTTTAAGTAATACTGTCACAACATGTCCACTGACAGTAATATGGAATGCACAGCTAGGGGATGGATAGGGAAACATGAGGATGGTGAGAGCAACCGCTGGAACCAACATGCCATGACCCTGTCAATTTACGGACTCAGGAAAGCGCAATGTGTACCCTAAACTTGCACTGACCATATTGACATTGACAAGTACATGAGAAGTGAAGGTGGGTAAAAGGTCCAACGCTTAAATTTTATAAGTCAATTATTAAAAGATTTCATTAAGATTTACACTGGATGTACTCATTGTCATTATTGCCATTATCCTTTTCACTAATCAGCCACCCATATCCTGGTTGCTTTTTCCTTTGGATGCGCCAAAAGAATTATGTCAGTCACAGGGTACGCTTTATTTAAGTAACACTTTTGAGTGTAAGAGAAATAGCACTTTCTTCCCCATTCCCTTCAAGACAATCGTGTCTAAACTCACCTTCAGCTTTCATTTCATTGGCCAGTAGAAGCTGATGCAGTTGGTGGCTCAAAGTAACTGATGCAAGCAGTTGGACACAACTCACAGGACCTCAGGGTTATGAGATGTCTGACTTGGCTTCTCCACTAACGGTGCATGAAACACCCCATAGCCAAATGTCACGTTACAGTTGAAGTTCAATGCCTAGACGCACGTATTTACGTCTAGCGTGAAATGTCGCCACACGCACTGCTGAGTTCGTATCAATTTGATAATTGCAGGTGTCTCTGTGATTGGGATCGAACCTTAAACGAATTTTCAAAGGCACTATGAAGCAAAATATAAATTTTTTTCCGATTTAGTGAAGGAATAGACATAAGCCTCCATAAATTTTGCAGAGTCCTGTGTAAGAAACTACTTGTTACTAGTCCCAATCCTCTTCACCGATTCGATGATAGTATGTGCTTGCAATTACCTTCGTCGAACCAAGTGGGGTTCCAGGATTCATGCAAACTGGAATTCAAGGTTCGGAATGCTACTCCTCTCACCTTTTATGAGCATATTTATTTGAATCTAGAAGGCACTGAAAGCGAAAGAAAATGTAGTTCCTGATAATAGTTGCAAAATTGAGAGAAAATGTGTGAAGATCACAGATGTACTAAGACAACTCAAAATGTACAAAAACACCGCCAATAGCTAAGCTACAAATCAAAATGTAAAAGACTTTAATGCTATTGATGTGTGCCTTGTGTCCTCCAATAAATTTGTAAGCTAATTAACACAAATATTTCAGTAAGTATGCCTCACTATTTGGCTTACTCAAATTGTGATATTACGTTAATACCTCTAAATTGAGGAATATGCCTAGTTATTGAAGTTAGCAAACTTCCACTGATTCAGACAGAAACACATTTTGGCCATAACTCAACTTGTATTTTGCAAAAAGATTTAAGACGTTCATCAACTGTGGCGTGAATGTGAAGAATAATTAGCAGGTTCCCGTGTATTTCAGGAAATTTGGCTTTGAAGTAGCAGATCTCGTCATAATCATCAATTGTGTGAGGAATGCTAAACAAAAAGGGCTTTACCAACATTAAATGGATCTTTATGCTTATTACTCTACCTTCAACTTGCCTCCGATATCAGATAAACTATCGTGACAACACCGAGGAAGTAGAACCAATCGTCAATTATGCCGATGACAAACATGATTTCACACAAAATTTTTCGAAAGACCAGTATTGTGGCTTTTTGACTAAGTGGCCACGTAAACTGAATTGTCACTTTGTAGATTTGCTTCGTCGTGTGAAACGCTGTATTCCACTGTTCCTTTATCTCAGCATATCTCAACATGCCTCAGAGGTAAAATTGGGAACTATAGTAATATCGAGATGTTTTGTGAAGGTGAAATGTTTGTACAAATGTATGAAGCCATAAGTCCCTTAATGAACTATTGTTAACTATTCTAAAGTCTATACATATGTTCATTACCTTGTGAAGGCTGATGNGACAGAAACACATTTTGGCCATAACTCAACTTGTATTTTGCAAAAAGATTTAAGACGTTCATCAACTGTGGCGTGAATGTGAAGAATAATTAGCAGGTTCCCGTGTATTTCAGGAAATTTGGCTTTGAAGTAGCAGATCTCGTCATAATCATCAATTGTGTGAGGAATGCTAAACAAAAAGGGCTTTACCAACATTAAATGGATCTTTATGCTTATTACTCTACCTTCAACTTGCCTCCGATATCAGATAAACTATCGTGACAACACCGAGGAAGTAGAACCAATCGTCAATTATGCCGATGACAAACATGATTTCACACAAAATTTTTCGAAAGACCAGTATTGTGGCTTTTTGACTAAGTGGCCACGTAAACTGAATTGTCACTTTGTAGATTTGCTTCGTCGTGTGAAACGCTGTATTCCACTGTTCCTTTATCTCAGCATATCTCAACATGCCTCAGAGGTAAAATTGGGAACTATAGTAATATCGAGATGTTTTGTGAAGGTGAAATGTTTGTACAAATGTATGAAGCCATAAGTCCCTTAATGAACTATTGTTAACTATTCTAAAGTCTATACATATGTTCATTACCTTGTGAAGGCTGATGTCAACTTAGAAGCAACAGGTAAATATCATGACCTCTTAATCTTCATCCGCGGCACAGTAGTTTGAGCAACATAAATATTATTACAATAATGTCTTCATAATTACTTTTCCAGTACGAATCGAGTTTAAATACACTAATATATTGCATAAGTAGTTTCAGATAATTGTTCGTCAATCGAACAAATTATTCTTCATTCTGAATATTCATCTCAGCACGATTTCACTGTTTGAAGAAGTTCAATAGGCTATCATAAAGGCGAATCATCTGAATTTATTTAGTTCTCTTTATCAAAGCATGTTTAAGTGCACCAAAATAGTGCCACTAATGAAAAATTTGATGCCATTTTATCACACATTTATACTTTGAAGACATTCTACTGATATTCAAACTTAAATTACATTAAACTACATTCTCACTGGCAAAATGTATTTCAGGCCTATCTTAATCCTGTTTGCTGATGTTTCTGACCTAGCGCCAAATGAACTGTAGATTTCATGGCTATTTTGGTTGTCATAAATGCGCACACTTGTAATTTCAAAGCACACGTGTTCCATATACGAACACTGCAATGTTGAATAAGCTTTAAAGAGCAATCTAAGTGTATTAATTTAAAGCATTAGTCTCCATTAAAAGTTACTGCTAAATTTCGATGATCACTCTCTGCTTGACTTTAAAGCTGTTCAACTGATTCAGAATTCAACGGATGCACAATTTGATCATACTTGAACATTTGATGTAAGTAGCACCAAACTCTAAATGTCAAGATTGTGGAGAACACAATATTAGAAAGGTTGAAGCAATGAAGAGCTTGTACTTCCAACCATTCTGGAATGTTCCGGAAGCGATGACAACCACGCTGGGAAGCAAATGAGGCCATGAGTGTAATGACCTCTCAACCAATCAATAACCAAATTCACTAGGCGAATATAATGACTTTGCACAATGTTAGTCAATACAAGATCGATTGATTTACACCCCCAACATAACGTCATCCGAATAAACATACTCCATGACATTCGCNCGGCTTCATTTTGCAACTGGCTCAATTACCAACTAAATAAGTGCTTCACTACTGAGAAAATGTATTTATTCATTTATTTCAAATGGGAGGCGTTTTGAAAGTTATCATTAGCCGTTTAGTTGGCATCGGGCTTCACAGAGGGGAGGAGCATCAATGCGAGAAAAATACGAGGGAACAGAAAAGTGATTCAAAGATGTAAAAGAGACAGACAGACACAAAGGTAGAAAAAAGGTGAGGTGAGTACTGTGGAAGGGGTCGAATATGAAATGCAGTGGAGTCATGGTAGTTTGAAGTCAGAAGTCAACTGCCCGTTAATAGACTTTTTGCCGTATGAGTAAACGTTGCCCAAGGGGTACCACGAAGAGGTAAGCCTATCGCACACTCCATATTGAGAAAATAAATGAGTTTATATTGAATCTATTATGCGATTCGTAACTGGCATGTTGGTTCACGGATATTGGATTTCTCGTTAGTCTTTCGTTTTCATGCCTGAACGAAGAAGTTCAATATTCGAGAGCTCAGTGAAGCTACTACTTGTGCACTTGTTCAAATGCTCCGAGGACATTATCAAGATGAAAATTTAAAAATTAGAGGAAGAGCATCATTATTCGATTTCTTGTTGCCCCTCATCCTACAAAGCTTGAGAGATGAATAAAGTGCAAATTGTATCTTTTTTCCGCACTAAAAATGCCTTATTGCGCTGTATTCAATGGTACTTTCTGCTTCAAAACCAAAAAAAGGATTTATTAATCATGACCATCCTCCCAATGACTGAAAAAATGCCCCCCCCCTAAACACTATTTGGTCAGGTTTTTGAAGCTGATATTAGTTTAAT